CTGCACCATAGACTCAGCACTGCACCATAGACTCAACACTACACCATAGACTCAACACTGCACCATAGACTCAACACTGCACCGTAGACTCAGCACTGCCCGAAGACTCAACACTGTACCATAGACACAGCACTGCACCATAGACTCAGCACTGCACCATGGACTCAGCACTGCACCATTGACTCAACACTGCACCATAGACTCAACACGACCCATAGACTCAGCACTGCACCATAGACTCAGCACTGCACCATAGACTCAGCACTGCACCATAGACTCAACACTACACCATAGACTCAACACTGCACCATAGACTCAACAATGCACCAGAGACTCAGCACTGCACCATAGACTCAGCACTGCACCATAGACTCAACACGACCCATAGACTCAACACTGCACCAGAGACTCAACACTGCACCATAGACTCAGCACTGAACCATAGACTCAGCACTGAACCATAGACTCAGCACTGCACCACAGACTCAAAACTGCACCATAGACTCAGCACTGCACCATAGACTCAACACGACCCATAGACTCAGCACTGCCCCACAGACTCAACACTGCACCATAGACTCAGCACTGCCCATAGACTCAACACTGCACCATAGACTCAACACGACCCATAGACTCAACAATGCACCAGAGACTCAACACTGCACCATAGACTCAACACTACCCATAGACTCAACACTGCACCATAGAATCAACACTGCACATAGACTCAGCACTGCACCGAAGACTCATCCCTGCCCATAGACTCAACACTGCCCATAGACTCAACACTGCCCATAGACTCAACATTACCCACAGACTCAACACTGCACCATAGACTCAACACTGCACCATAGACTCAACACTGCCCATAGACTGAACACTGCACCATAGACTCAACATTACCCACAGACTCAACACTGCACCATAGACTCATCACTGCACCAAAGACTAAACACTGCACCACAGACTCAGCACTGCCCATAGACTTAACACTGCACCCATAGAGACTCAACATTGCACGATATACTCAACATTGCACCATAGACTCAACACTGCACCATAGACTCAGCACTGCACCGTAGACTCAGCACTGCCCGAAGACTCAACACTGTACCATAGACACAGCACTGCACCATAGACTCAAAACTGCACCATAGACTCAGCACTGCACCATAGACTCAACATTGCACCATAGACTCAACACGACCCATAGACTCAACAATGCACCAGCGACTCAACACTGCACCATAGATTCAACACTGCACATAGACTCAGCACTGCACCATAGACTCAGCACTGCACCGAAGACTCAACACTGCACCATAAACTCAAAACTGCCCATAGACTTAATACTGCACCATATACTCATCACTGCACCATAGACTAAACACTGCACCACAGACTCAGCACTGCCCATAGACTTAACACTGCACCCATAGAGACTCAACATTGCACGATAGACTCAACATTGCACCATAGACTCAACACTGCACGATAGACTCAACACTGCACCATAGACTCAACACGACCCATAGACTCAACAATGCACCAGAGACTCAACACTGCACCATAGATCCAACACTGCCCATAGACTCAACACTGCACCAGAGACTCAACACTGCACCATAGACTCAGCACTGCCCATAGACTTAATACTGCACCATAGACTCATCACTGCACCATAGACTCAACACTGCCCAAAGACTCAGCACTGCCCATAGTCCGAACACTGCCCACAGACTCAGCCCAGCACCACAGACTCAGCACTGCACCATAGACTCACTGCCCATAGACTCAGCACTGCCCATAGACTCAGCACTGCCCATAGACTCAGCACTGCCCATAGACTCAGCACTGCACCATATACTCAACGTTGTCCATAGACTCAACACTGTCCACAGACTGAACACTGCACCATAGACTCAACACTGCCCATAGACTCAACACTGCCCATAAACTCAGCACTGCTCATAGACTTAACACTGCACCATAGACTCAGCACTGCCCATAGACTCAACACTGCCCATACACTCAACGTAGTCCATAGACTCAACACTGTCCACAGACTCAACACTGCACCATAGACTCAACACTGCTCATATACTTAACACTGCCCATAGACTTAAGATGGCTTTTGCCATTTAGTTTCAAAGGCAATGCATATAATATCAGAGCCATGTTTGTTTGCTCGTGTGATCAATGCAGTAATTTTATTCTTTTCAAAATATTTTCATTTGGTGTTGGAACGTCTTAACATAACTTCTGTTTCATTGCCAAAAAAGGATAAAACACTTTCATATGTTTTTCAAATTGTGTTGGTATGTTTTGTTGTTGTTGTTGCTGTAACGTTCTGACGCCGTTCCCGCCGTACTGGACTTCCGTGACTGATAGAGCTTCACAGCTTATCGGATTTCCTCCTCCTGCAGTCATTAATAAATATTCTCCTTCTGATATCTGCGCCATCGACCCCGCAGTTCGATATCCTGACCCAGGCCGCCTTCCCCTGTTACGCGATCCACCCCTAATCCGCGAACCTTCAATATCGGTGATTTTTCGTTTCGATTGGTTTTGCTTCTTGAACATCGATAAGCGTCAAAGGTTCCTCATTAAAAAGCGTATGATTTTTGCAAATTAATTATTAGTGTTGTTGTTGTTGTTGCTGCTGCTGTGCATCTAAAGTCGCGCCCGTGTGTGTGTGTGTGTCGTGCGCAGG